GAAGAAGAGGAAGAGGAAGAGGAGGAAGAAGAAAAAGGGGAAGAGGGTGAGGAGGAAGAAGGGGAAGAAGGAGAGGGAGGAGAAGAAAAAGGGGAAGAGGGCGAGGAGGAAGAAGAAGAGGGAGAGGGGGGAGAAGAAGAAGAAGAGGGGGAAGAAGGAGACGAGGAGGAAGGGGATGTAGGAGAGGAGGAAGAAGAGGATGAGGGAGAAGAAGATGAGGGTGAGGAGGAAGAAGCAGAGGAAGAGGAAAAAGCAAAAGATAAAAGGAAAAATTATAGTAGTAAATTTCCAGAAAAGAAAAGCAAACCCAGGAAACCAGAAAAGACAAAAAGTTCTGCTTTACCAAACAGCTCTAAACAAAACATGAAATCCAAACGCCATGTAGCAAATGGTTTACATAATTCAGAACAATTTTGGAACAATGTGCTACCTCATTATTTAACACTAAAGTAGCATAGACGACTGGAGATGCATTTTAACCCTACTCAGGAAACAAACTGATTTTTATTACTTAAAAGAAACTTTTCAGGGAATCAAAGCATACTATTATGCATATAACGTACGTGCCAATTTCTTGAAAAAGATTGAGGAAAATGTTTAGATTTAGGATACTTTTATGAGAGAAATCACATACACATACACATACACATACAATCATTTTCACAATCATGTTTATCGTGTATGATATATAAAGAAAATTAATTGCTGAGGAGGTAAACTGTGTTTGCCTCTTAATCAGTGCAATCTTTGCCTTTGAATCAGCAATACACCAATTTTAGCTGCAGGACAGTTGACTTGATAATGTGCCTTACATGAAAGGAGTTTCAGTAAATTAGGAAATTTACCTATTTTTAACTTTTGGTATCACTCCATAATTTATTTCCCCTACTTTTAATCTGTTTATACATTGGTAAAATGTTCAAGTACCTAAATTAAAGAAAGGACAAGTTGCCAAATTTACATGGGTCAGTGAATGGGAGGTAAATGGAAATGCAGGCCTGGGTAAGTGATGGCCTAGGACTTTTCAAGGGCCTTAAGGCTGACTTCTTATTTTGGTGTCAGCCCACAATTCTGTGTGAAAAACCACACACAGATCTCAGAATCTGGCGTAGATTACATTAGAGTTCAGGGATAATTTTTATATATCACACTTGGTGATTAGATAGAACTAAGAATTTGAAATATACACCTCTAAAACATTTTTTTATTTGTTTATACTGTGCAATACACAAAAGATTCTATATCTGCCTATGAAAGACTATCACATTAGTCCTCTAAGTCTGAGGTACTCCAGGAGGGGGAATATATGCTGTTGCTGTTTGAAACACATATATGTTTTCAGGATCAGAGCAAAACCTTTGCCTCATTGGAGGAGATTTATAGTTTCCTCGCCTAAAAATCTTATCTGTAATCTCCAAAAAGAGGTAAACCAACAAGCCAGATGGAATAGTAAAGAAAGTGGCAAGAAAGTCTGATTTTTTTTTAAAGTCAAAGTTAATACTTTTAGAATTTCCTCAAAAAACACAAACAAATCTTGCAAATTATTTTCGTAAGATAATGCATCACTCTTTCAACCTGAAAGAGTTAGGGACTCCTTAGGGACTGAACTGGCAGAGGAAGAGACAGGGACTCATTGTGCTGCATTGTTACTTGAATATTATGCCAATGGGTGGTCTGAGAAATTTTTGTAAAGAGATCTCAGTATTGACATTCTTTAGAAAACTAGTTATTTAAAGCCTACTTGAAAATGAGAAGAGAAGAAAAAAGGAATCAAAATGAGTAAATGTCATTCAATAAAAATGTGAATGGAATCAATACATGTGTTGAGATTATGAAACATTTTAATATTGTTTTGTAAGATACTGGCATTAAAAGATCTTTGACATGATGTCTCCAGAATTTATTTTCTAAGAAGCCTGTAGTAGATCAGTAGTTTGCCAGTAAATCCTAGTCCCAGTCCAACCTTCCTGCCTCATTCACCCCTTCCATATACTCCCTTTGAAGGTCAGATCACTTCAGTCACATGCTGTGCAAAAAGTTACCCCAGTGACTGTATTTTTGTCCCTGTAAAATTTGTTTCAAATTTGGAATTCTCTGGAACACATTGTCTGGGCATCAGCATGTGTCTTTGGAGCAGGGTAAGTATCCTCATATTCTCTAAGAGAATATGATATCATTTAAATGCCCTTCCCAAGAAATCAGCTCTCTAACAATGGAGTCATTGGATATTCTGCCAGTGTGCTGTGTTATCACCAAACTCCTCTGAAAACACTTCCCTTTGAAACTCAGTGGAGCTGTGGTGTGTTATTTCATCTTTCTTAGGAAAGATTAGGCTGTTACTATGATTAAACTTAGAGTAGTATTGAAAGGTATTTTTATAGGTCTAAAACTGGGTTTCTTGGATATGACATCTACTTTGTGGTTCTAGAATTCATTGCTGGAAGAAAACTGGGCTGTGAAAAAGAAAACAATCCCGTTATTTCGAGTGAAAAATATTTCCTAGAGAGAGGGAGAGAGAAAAAACGAGTAAAAGCAAGTAATTTCCAATTCCACATAGGAATGGCCCTTCATTTACTGTTTGGTTGCAGCATTTAATATAAATTCTTAGGCAATTGAGGACTATTTGTTATTTCTCTCTTAACATATGCTGATAGCAGAAAGCTTTCCAAGACAGTGAAGGAAGCCAACTTAAGGGCATCTCCCCTTCTTTGTTTTGTCTGGATGAAAATTCATTAATTTGAGAACTGATTTTATGTAGTTTTGTGGATCATTCCTGTGGTAGGGGAAAAGCAGAGCTTTACTCCAGCTCTTCTAAGGGTTTTCCACAGTCTCGTTACATAAACTGTGCTCGGTGCCAGCATTTCTGGGCTTTGAGGGGACTTTTGGAACTCCATTAGCATAACGAGTGGAATTTTATTTAGTTTGACTCATTCTGGTTTATAAAGTTTGCTACTTGTGGTTTTGTGAAATTTCAATATATCCTTATTTATTATGGCATACAAAGAGATTTATATGCAGTACTGAAGAAGCATGACAGAAATAGTCCTGAGTTAATTTTTAATAGAGAAAAAAATTCCTGCATTAGAGAGAAAAAACAACAGACAATTGCCCAGACCAAAGATCTATCCATCTTTTTTCTACCAGTGGCTACTGGTGAGTGCCAGGGAAAAAAAAAGAATTAGAATATTAGAGTAGCATAAACATGTAGTGTTACTTCCCCCCTGTAATCATTCAGTATAATGAATATAATTAGCATTTTCAATAATTTGTGGTTCAGCAGATATATGTATTACATTTAACATCCATTTTCTTCACATGAATTTCTTTCAATCAATTTTTAACCCAGTTTAGCATATTTTGGAAAATAATTCTTAGATTTATTTACACATAGTTTGGAGAAGTAACTCCTCTTTTCATTTGCATCATTTGATGTTTTTGAATTCTTGTGCTAGAAAAAAGAGCATTTATTCCCTCTTCATGATTTATTTCCCAACGATTGTCATGTGGGAAAAACTGCTCAGTTCTGTGGTTTAAGTCTACCGTAAGTGGTTTATTGATTTATTAATTACAGTTAACCAGCAATCAACCACCTACATGTTTAATTCAAGAGCAGCAACACAGCAGTTGACAGAAACACTGGACATCCTTAAAGTGCTAATAAGCACCTGTGAATTTCTAGGCACTCCCTGCAGCTCATCTCAGAAGTTTTAATCCCCTGCACAGCCTCACAGACACATTCACAGAATTACAGGGGCACCTGCTGCCTTTTACAATGGGTATCCAACACCAACACCTCTGGCACTTTCAGAGGTGTGGGTGCAGGTGTGCTGCTGCCTCACAGCTCTGGTTACAGGTGAGGATTACTGGGTGACTTTGGAATATTCTGTGGCACAGCTCTTGTCTTGTGCATGCAAAATTTCAGCAGATCAATTTCTCCATTATAGCTGAACATAGCAAACTATTTATTCAGATAGTAGATCTCTTTCCATAATTGATGCTGAATAACAAAAACGTCCTTCTCCAAACTACATAAAATGTCTAGGTTTCACTCATTATTTTTTGTTCCAGTTTCTTATCTGGATGAGTACATGGGTATTCTTTAGAACAGGGCCTTTCAGAATTATGCAGAAAGGACATCTAGATTTTGTTTTCATTGCTCTTAGGGTTTTTTCCCTCCTAGTTTGTTGGGGTTCTTTTTACCTTTAGGCATCTTTAAATATAAATTTTAGCTTATCTTCTCCCAAGATGACACTATCTTCTAGATCCTATCTCTCATATAACATTAAGGGTCTGTAAAAAGGCCAAAAAAGGGCAAAGTAAATGTGAAAGGGTAATTTTTGATCTAATTTCTAATTGTGGAAGTGACAGTGTTTAGTACTGTGGCATTCTATGAGCAAGTGAGCAAAGTCTTTGCTTGCACAAATGGCAAACCCATAGTACTGTGCTCAGTAAAGTTCTGAGGATGTCTTGGATCCAAAGTCACTCACTGGGCTGTAACATTCTTATACACTTATTTATGTTTTAATGGAGACAGGAGAGGTTAACTTATTTCATATTGAAAGGATTTTGGAGACACAGCTTTGGCATCAGAAAATTAAATTGCAGAGAGCAACAGAGACTTTGTATTTCTATTGCCAAAAGAAGAAGCAAGTACACTTAATCACTCTGTTTTTTAAGGATTTATGATAGTGCTTATTGCTTTTTTTGCTTGTCAACCTCATATCATAATAATTTAAACGAATATTAATACTATTATCTCAAACCCTATGCATAATTAGGAAAATAATTCTTATCAGGGCCCTGAAATGGTTAGTGTAAAAATATTTACTGTTCTGGTTTTCTTATTTCTCCAGCATTGAAAAATCAGAAATTACTCTTTTGGTCTCTGGTGGGTTGCAGGGCTGTCTGCTGGAGTATCACAGGTTCAATGGTATGGATTTAGAGCTTTATAATTTGTCATGACTGCCACACCTTTCACACAGTCTCATTTGTGGTTTGTGTGAAATGTAAAATATTTGTGCTGTCATATGGAGAGTGCGAGAGAGAGAAACAAAGGTGGCTCTAAAAAGAATTCTATATTAAACAAAGCCTTTATCTGCACCTTTTTTGTAAGGAGATAGATCACAGAAGTACTGAAGAGTAATATTTTAAACCCCTGTGTACTAATGTTAGAGCCTGTGCTGTTCGATTGGAAAGTGAACAATAAATACCAACCTAAAAGGAGCTTGTGAGCCACCCTGGCAGAGCCTGGCTTTCTTACAGGAAGTGTAAAACACTTCACTTTCATTCTATCCAGCATCAATCCAAAGCTACTTTCATAATTAGAAACACAGCAGCAGAACTGCTGCAGAATTTGACCTCTTTTACAGGGCACTTCATTATCATCTGTGAGCAGAAAAAGAAGAAAGCAAACCTGAACGTGTCCTGTATGAAGGGTACAGAAAGAAGTCAAG